AGCTGGGACCACAGGCGCCCGCCACAACACCCGGCTATTTTTTGGTTGCAGCCGTCATTGTTGTTTTGGCGGGTCTGGGCTGGGGATTCAAACCCGCCACCTTAGGTGTACGTGGCTGGCGCCTTAGCCGGTTGAGCTATAGGCGCCGAGCCAGCCATGTGATTTAAGAGAGTGTGCAGCACGGAAATACTTGTGGAGCTGAATGGGTCTCTCCTCTGTGCAGGTGGTAACGCAGGACCACTCCTCCCTCCGCAGTCACCACCTGCCAAGATGTCTGTGACACTGCCCTCAGTGAGCCTCGAGGCCCGCTCGCTGTCTCCCAGCATCAGCACGGCACAGGGGGACACGGAGTCGTCAGGAGCAGACACCTTCTGACCGGGAGTTGAGAGCCTGCATGGTGTTGATGCCACTGGTTTGGAAGTCATTTTACGTTGGTGTAAACCATCTCCCAGACTATTTTTGTTGTTGAGCATATTCTGAAAAACATTTCTAGTTTTTTATTAAACTGAGAAGCATAATTGGGGTATTTAGGTAAAGTTTTGAAATAAAATAAATATAAATTCTCATGAGTCCAGTTGTGAGTTACTTTTTAGAAGCTTGAGGCAGCACAAATAGTGGAGAAGGCTTGGCTTTTGATAGCTAAGAATTTACTCCAGGTAGTGGCTCATGCCTGTAATCCTAGCACTTTGGGAGGCCGAGGCAAGAGGACCACTTGAGGTTAGGAAACTGAAGCCACCCAGAGCAAGAGCAAGAGAGACCCTGTCTTTACTGAAAATAAAAAAAAAGTAGCCATGAGTGGTAGCACACTCCTGTAGTCCCAGCTACTTGGGATACCGAGAGAGGAGGATGGTATAAGGCCAAGAGTTTGAGGTTGCTGTGAGCTGTGCTGACACCATAGCACTGTAGGCTGGGCAACAGAGTCAGACCAGGTCTCAAAAAAAAAAAAATTTATCCTTCTACAGGTATAATTATCTATACATACTTAATGAAATTACATAGCTCAGGGTCATTCATTCCAACATTTTTAGTAATAGTAAATAATTAAAAAGAATTTAATCCCTATTAGTAAGGGACTGGTAGCATTTGAACAATGGAATACTATGTGGTACAAAAAATAATTTAGAAAGTTAATTAGAATAGGAGATTATGTCATAAAAGAAGAAAAAAATTAAAGTTTATATACCGATAATGAATTATCCTCAAGACACACCATTAAACTGAAAAGCCAAGTGCAAAACAGCCGTGAGCTCTGCTGCCCCTGTGTACGGGGGTAGGGTGGGGGGTCAGACACCTGCCGTGCACACGCCTGGCAGGTATTTGGTTTTGTCTGCATTAAATAAACAAGGATAAATAAGCTGCTAACTTTGTCTGCGAAGTTAGCAGGGGACTTAATGGCTAAGTGATAGGAATCAAGGATGATTGTGGTTCTGTGCATTTGAATTTCAGTTGTGACAAGAAAAAATTATGCATGAGGTTAATTTTTAAATGCCTTTTGTGTACCTTGTCAGCCTTTTTACTTCATAAGCCCATGAGACGTGTAACTACTATCATTCAAATATAAATACATACAATTAAAAGAAAATAAAAAGCATTGCTTTGTAATCAAACACATGTTCTAAATCCAGTTTCTGTGAGTACTTGCTCTTCAGTGGGGCAAACCAATTTCTTGTCAACTGTTTTGGGATAATGGGTTTAATATCTGTTTTGCAGAATAATGGGTTAGTGACTGTAGGGGCTGGGGTAGGGGAGGGTGCCTAGCACATGTCTGGCACTAGGTGAGTTCCCCATAAGTGGTGGTGTCTTGGATTTTGCCACTGCACTGGAGGGTAGGCTCGTGAGAACAGCAGCCTAACATTACCAAAAAAAGCTTATCTCCCTGAAAAATTATTTTCTATCACACCCGAAGTTCAAACACAGCAATTACAGTCATTCTTGACCTTTCTCAGCCTTTTTTTAGGTTACTAAGTGGCTCTCCACTCTGGTCACACATCAGAACCCCTGGGAGCTTTAAAGAATACCACTGCCCAGGGATCCTGCCTTAAATGATCTTGGTGGGGTCCAGGTGGTGGTATTAAAAAGGAAGAAGCCCTCTCAGGCGATTTTCATGCACTTTGGAGCTGAGAAGTGCTGAACAACAAATTTCCTAACCTTCGGGTAGAGTCCATCGCCTGGGGATTTTTTCTCCCTGAAGATAGAAGCTGGAAGAACTTGAGGAAACACAGGATGTGTCGCCTTCCTCTGTGTCCCGGCTGCTCGGGCTTCTCTGAGGGATTTGGTCACTGAATGTGTGAGATTTCTCTTTGGAATCAGTTTTCTTGCTATGGCTCTTTGGACAGTTCTGCTTACAATAGCTTTTTTAAACAAGTGGAGGAAAAATGAGGCTATGCAACTCTTCTGGTTTGAGGCTCACCTGCCAGTCTCTGGGCCAGGTGGGAGCAGGGATGCTTCCTAGTGCCGCTTCAGTCTAGACGCCACCATCCTTGGTTCCTGGTTTTCAAAGTTTTTTCTATCTGTGAAGGATTTCAGCAAATTCTTATTTTAGCAAAAGCTTTTTTTATTAAAGATGTTGG